ATATGCAATTCCCTAAATATCAGGCATTTTGAGAAGAATATTAGTAAGTACCATCACATTCTAGGATAGAATGTAAATTCCTAATTTATCTACAGTCATAAAAAGCTTAAATTTAAAGAGGCCTGCATTTAGGACAAAACTTACAAAAAAGATATCTGTCCTTGAAAACAACACATTCAATTAATCTTAGGTGCAGAGCGAAGTATAATACAATTTCATAGCACTGGGAGATCAAGTAGATACAAAATATTTCAATAAAACTTCTAACCATGAAAGGTGACCCAAGACATTTCCTAATATCCATCATCAGGATGTTTTAGAATGTGTGTCTATGCTGCAACATCAGCAAGAGAATATATTATATAAATAATATATTATATAAATAATATAAATTATATAAATATTATATAAATATATAAAGTGTACTTTTTTGATATAACACAAGTATTCTATAAATTACAAAAATAAAATTTCTCACAAATTGTTTATCAGGATTAAATTTTTTCTTCACTATACTACATTATATGCATAAATATACATTATCATCATCATTATACTTTTTTTAAACTCCCATAAGCACTGGGTCATAATTTAAAAATATTAGGTACAGGCTTTCAGGTTTTCAGAAAAGAAAACAATACACATGATTTATAAAATTCATTTCTGGTTAAGACTTCAGAAAAACACAAACCCAAATGCTTTTATAATTCAAAATTTTCAGTTACATTTGATATATTCGAATAAAGAGTTCAGGGCATAAACTGCTGAGAAAAACTTGAAAAAGGACCTAATTTTCTAATTCATCGAAACATCAATAAATTCTATGTAGTTTAATATAAGTCCAAAGCTATAGTATGTGCTGCCTTACAGTTACACTCTGAGTTATATATAAATCTCAGTATTAAAGAAAAGTTTATGTTTAAAAGAATAGTTCCACTTGGTTAAATTAAGACCACATTACATAATTGAAGAAAGCCAATTAAGACTCCATTTTCAAGGTCTTTGTGGCTCACCAATCCCTCCCCCAGCCCCCATTCCCCTCACCACTTCCTCATACTGTTTTTTTTGTTTTGTTTTGTTTTAATTGGGTTACAATCAGATCTTCTTGAGAAGACAAGATTTAGTTATAAGCCAATACAGGGTGAGGGATTATATTTTGTAAGGTTTAATCTTAAAAGAACAATCTTAATGTTACTTCACTGTAACTCCTATGCATCTATAACTAAAGATCTGCACAGTTAGTACAGAATAAGTACCTCTTACCTGAAATGACTGGTACCAGAAACGTTTCAGATTCTTCTTTTCAGATTTTGGAATATTTGCATATACATAATAAGATATCTTGGGGATGGAAACTAAGCCCAAAGATTAAATTCATTTGTTTCATACATACCTTATACATGCAGCTTAAAGAAAATTTTCTACAATATTTTCAATAATTTTGTATGTGAACCAAAGTTTCATGATGTAGAATTTTGACATTCAAAGTCTCATTACGGTGGTGTGTCTTGTTGACATTCAAAAAGTCTCAGACTGACTATCTATCTATACCTTCAGATTAAGGATAATTAATTCTAAGTGCAATCAGATTGCTAGACTCTAACTTTCTAAGAATGAAAAAGCTATAAAGAGACAGGCCCTCAAAGGCAATTCCTGCTGGATGAGCAGACTAAACAAAGGTAAAAATGAGGCTCAGAATCTCTAAATAACTACAGAAAAATGCCCAGAACACTTCAGAAAGACATGGCATGAAACAGTTAAATTGGGCATGTCAAAGTTCTAAAGATCTCTGAAGGTCTAACACAAACTCTAAAATTGCTATTAACTATTTGGAGCATTTTAATTCATGTGTACCTTTTTGCAAAAACAACACGGCTAGGAGAGTTCATTAATTTTCTTCAGAATTTAATAAGGTTATTAAATTAATAAGACTGTACAGAGCAAGCAGCTCCCCAAAACCAAGTGCTACATCAAGAGTTCTGAACACAACAGCACACACTACACTAAGTAGAGCTAGTTGTAGCAAAAGAGGGGGTTGTCATTTTTCTATAAGAACAATTGGAGCTGGGGATGTGGCTCAAGCAGTAGCGCGCTCGCCTGGCATGCGATGGGCGCTGGGTTTGATCCTCAGCACCACATAAAATAAAATAAAGATGTTATGTCCACCAAAAACTGAAAAATAAATATTAAAAAACTCTCTCTCTCTCTCTCTAAAAAAAAAAAGAACAAATCTAAGTATAGGACTGTACCAAAGCAGGCAAAGAAATATAAAACTAATCAGTTCATGGGAAAGTTGAAAGTAAAATATGCCTTATTTAGAACCAGGAAATCCAGAAAGCTAATATTAAAAAAAAGTCAACCTACAGGTAAATAGAGGAAGCTAGTCAATAAAAAAAGAATAACACTGAACAAGAATGTTCAAGAGGCACTGAAAAGAAACAGTGTGGCCAGCACTAATATCTGCCTTAGTTCTCAGGGCTTTCTCACCCAAGCAAGTTTGCTATAAATCTTTCTGTTCTCTTTAAGTAATTTGAGTCTCTTCCTCACAAATATAAACACTTCTAAGTATTCCCTCTATAGAGTAGAACTAATATGCTGACTACCCAGCTTCCCCTAAAATGGATATAAGCCTTCCTTTTCCTGCGAGAAAGAAACCATTCCATATGGTTTATATGGGGCTGGTAACATGCACCCCCATCCTCCTCAAAATACACACATTCACACTCCCTTCCTGTCAACTGGCTCTTAGACATTCCCACCCTCTCTCACTAGCCCATGAGTTCTTTTAATCTTCTACTCTCCTACACAGGCTCTCACACTCTCTCCTACACACTAACCTACACAAACAGATTTATGTTCAAGCAATCCAAATACTCATTCCACTGGCCTCAATGCTTTGTTCAAGGCTGTGTATCAGGTCCCCAGGAAGCTAGAAAAAGTCCTCCCCATGACTTGCCCATACTAACATTACTGGCCAGACTGCCAGCCCTACAGAGCAACACAAAAAGAGGTAGTAGAGTCCTAAAGACCTGGAGAACTTGTAGGCATACATACCACTCTTGGTATTCAGGACCAAATCCTCTTCCCTTGAACTTTGGAGCTGAAATCCTGAAGGAGTCCTGATACATCCTTTCAGGGCTCTAAGTCAGAGATTTTACAGCATCCCCACGAACTCATCATACCTCTACCTGTTTCTACCAGCAGAAAGGACTAAAAACTTTGTAGTAAGTGTCCTTCCTAATCACTTTTTGTAAACATAAAGTGAACAGCTAATTAAGAATTCAACATTAAAAACTGAAATTGTTTCTTCCATCCTACTCAGAGATTCCCTGAGAAGCACAAAAAGGAACAGACCAGTTCACTGTTCCAAGTTTTAAAATCTAACAATACATTTTGTTAGTAAAGATGGAATTTTCTGATGAGATGAACACATACACACAAAATTCAACAGCACTCTGGCAATTAAAATTCTGTGTCAGAATCCATTAGATATTACAAAAGTAGAAATTGAACTAGTCTTATTTACAGCCTCTGGCATATGGCAGGTGTGCTACAATTTCTTAAACGAATGAATAAATGTACCATGCCTATTCAGACACTCATTCTATAATTCATTGCTAGTTTTCACTTAGATACCATTATCTGTAAAGCACTCTACTGGGCACAGAGAAAATGCAAAGATCAGATAGGAACTCAGTTCTCAAAGAACATCCAAGCATTTTTGTGGCCAAAGACCCTTTATGAATTTTGGTGAAAATATGAGCACTCTATTCAGCAAAATATCTAAGCAGATACGATAAGATTCTGCATAAATTTCTAGGGATTCCCACAGTAAGAATTCCAGACTTAGTAAGATAAATAACACAATGATATAAATGCATTCACAAAACACTGTGGTTTTTTATTTGTTGGTTTTTATACACTAAGAAGAAACTTCTGAAAGATGAAACAATACTTTCAGAAATTAATTATTTAAATTGGGAGCCTTTGTATAAGAAATATTAACATGCTGTGTAGCATGAAAATATAAACAACTATATACAAATGCAAAGGTTTTCTTTCAACACATAAAGCATAAATGAGATTAGAAACTTTTTATTATGAGAAAAAAATAACAAATATTGGCAGAATCCAGTCATGAGAAAGACACTGACTGCCCTTAGGTTTTACAGATTTTGAAGTCTAACATTTTAACTATCTTTATTGATTTAAGTATTACATAATTAGGACTAGTGATCATTAAACTTTTAAATAGCATCAATAATAACTAAAATATATGGATGAATGGAGTAAGAACATGCAGCAATGTAATCTACATTTTGAAATTCTGAGACGAAATTTCCTCTTGGGTTACAGGTTTCAATCAGATGACTAGCATACTCCTCAGCTTAAGAGGACATAATCTCACAAGACTAACTTTGCCACCCAAATTTATCAAGCACCAAAATACACCATTCTACAATAAACAAGTTTTCTCCAACTATAATTTTAGAAAAACTTTACAATTTCAAGTGAATAGAAATCCTGAAAAGCTTAAGCTATTGAATTTTGCTTACTACCTCTCTAAAAACAACCAATTTAAAAAAAGTCAATTACTATTAAGAAAAATTTTCAGACTTGTGGACAAAACACAAAGCAAGCCTATAAACCTGCATCAGTAATATCTTTTTTTTTTCCTTTTTCTTAAGTGCTTTACCACTGAGTTATACTCTCACACAGAAATATTTTCCAAAGCAAGTGAAAAAAACAAGCACCAGAATGAAGTTGATGTCCCATCAAGATCAATCGACAAATGTCAAAGTTAGAAGCAACCTCAGAAATTACCCAAACCATTCCTCTCTTTTATGTATGAAAGTCAAAGCACAGCAAAAGCATGCTCAATAAATTAAGAACAGATTCCAAATTTATGGAACAGACATAGGCCAAACATAACCAATATAAGTACCACAATAATGTATTTTAAAACATGAAAATTAAATTTAACAAATCTAAGTACTTACATTAAGAAGTAATTCATCTTTTGTTTTAAGAGGAAAATTCTTATTTTCTTTCTCAACTTGTAAATCATCATCTCCATCTGACAACACTGGAGGAAGTGATATATGAGAGGAAGAGGAAGATGAGGAAGAAGATGATGAGGAAGAAGAGGAGCTTGAACTATCTGAATCTGTTTCACTGTTGGAGGAAAAAAGTTGAAAATTTGGTCAGTATTATTATAATGCTATTAAAATAAGATCATTCATCTACTTTACCCTGCTTACTACTCCAAGTCTAATTCAAAAGCTAGCATTTCAAAGCTTATTATAATATTGAGAAAGTAGTCTTTATTCTACCAATAACATTTTCAAAATCTCTGCTATAATTCAAACCCTTACTGCCATAGTTTCACACATTACMTGGCTATCTAAGTATAGTTAAGTAAGTGACAATCACTGCCTAAAGGATGCTCTAGGCAGGGCACCTTTCTTGGTCACCAATGAAAGAGTTTCTTCTGTCTTTAGACTACTGGGGAACCTTGTCTTCTCTAGTAGCTGAACAGCCTCTCCCCACAGTAATCACCCCTTCATCCCACTGCTGTTATTTTCAGAATTTTATGACCCTCCATCCTAATCAGTTCATGCTCTTGCTTTTAAAGAATTGTTTGAGTACATATAAGAGGGAATTATTAATTTTATATAAACAGTATTTATGTATTAGTATTTTATAACAGTATTGTGTTTATGAGAATGTTTCCCTTCAAGAACATATGCTGAAATATTTAAAATCTCATGATGTCTATTAATAACTTTAAAATGGTTCAGCGACATATTAAACAGTTAAAAAATGTTAAAACTGTTAAATCAAGGTGATGGCTATACTGGTTTGTACTAGTGTATATGTGTGTGTGTTTGTGTATACACGCATGCACACATGTGCCTATTGGGGATTAAACCCATGGGCACTATATTGCATCCCCATCCCTTATTTTGAGACAGGGTGTTAAGTGGCCCATACTGGCCTTGAACTTGTGATCAGGACTCCTGTCTCAGTCTTCCAAGTAGCTGGGATTATAAGCATGCATCATTGTGCCCAGCTTCTTCCACTTTTCACTAGAAAATATTCAATCATATAGAAAAGTTTTAAAAGTTTTTCTATAAATTTATACTACATCCAAGATAAAAATCAATGACATTCTTCATAGGACAGTCCTAAAATTCATTTGGAAGAATAAAAGACAGAGAATAGCCAAAATCAATTCTAAGCCAAAAAAGCAATACTAGAGACATCATAATACCTGACTTCAAATTACACTGCAGAGCTATGGTAACAAATGCATGATACTGGCATAAAAAGACACATAGACCAATGGTACAGAATAGAAGACACACAGACCATTGGTACAGAATAAAAGACACAGAAACAAACCCACATATCTATAGCCCAAAACATACACTGGGAGAAAAGATAGTCTTTTTTCCAAATGATGCTGGGAAAACTGATTATCCATATGTTAAAAAAAAAAAAAAAAAAAAAAGGAAGAAAAAGAGAAAAAAGAAACTATACCCTTATCTCTCACCCTGCACAAAAATCAACTCAAAATGGATCAGACCTAGGAATTAGACCAGAAACTAAGCAACTCCTAGAAGAAAACACAGGGTCAACACTCCAGCAAATAGGCACAGGCAACTATTTTCTCAATAGGACCCCTAAAGCACAGGAAATAATTCCAAGGATTAATAAGTGGATGGCATCAAATTTAAAAGCTTCTGCACACCAAGGGACACGATTAGGAATATGATGAGAGAACCTACAGAATTGAAGAAAATCTTTGTACTCTTCTGACAGAGGATTAATATCTAGAATACATAAAAGAGCTCAAAAAACTTCACGGCAAAAAAGCAAATAACCCAATTAATAAATGACAGACTCAAATTAAAAACAGACAGTTCTCAAAAGAAATACAAATGGCCAACAAATACATGAAAAAATGTTCAACATTGTTAGTCATTAGGGAAATGCAAATCAAAATGAAATTTTATCTTATACTAATCAGAATGACAGTCACCAAGTACACAAATAATAATAAATGCTGGAGAAGATGTGGAGAAAAAAGGAACACTTTCACACTGTTGGTGTGATACTGTAAAATAGTAAGAACATCAGTATGGAGGTTCCTCAAAAGACTAGGCACGGAACCACCATATGACCCAGTTGTAACATTTCTCATTATTTATCCTTAAGAATTAAAGCATACTAGCATAATACATGCATACCCGTGTTTATAGCAGCATAATTTACAACAACGAATCTATGGAACCAGCCTAGGTGTCCATCAACGATGAATAGATAAAGAAAATGTTGTATATATACACAATGGAGTTTTATTCAGCCATAATGAAAAATGAAATTATGTCACCTGCAGGAAAATGGATAGAACTAGAGACCATTATGATAAGCGAAATAAATCAAAACTCAGAAGATTGTTTTCTCTTATATGTGGAAGCTAGAGAGGAAAAAAAAGTGGGGGGGATCCCATGAAAAGGAAAGGGAAATCAGTAGAGGAAAGGGACCAAGGGGTGGGAGATGGGGTGGGATGGGCAAAGTGCTTGGGAGTGATATTGGACAAATTATAGTGTATTATGTGCATGTACAAATATAAAAAACAAATCCTATCAGTATGTACAACTATAAAGTGCCGAAAAAAATGTAGGAAAAAAGTTTTCCTGTAAATTTATACTGTATCCAATATGAAAGTCATGCTCCTTAGCATGAGATCTTAAGAGTCTTAACAATCAGGTTACTGGTAAACTCCACAATCCCATCTCCCACCACTTCTCACATGGATCCCATATCTAGCAGACAAACTCATATAACTTTCCATAGCCCCTAACATTTTCACAACACACCACTGCTTGGGCTATTTTCCTTGCCTTCAATGCCCTCAACCCAGAAAAATTCTCTTTATAGTTTCAACTCAAATATTATCTCCTATGAAACCACCCCCCACTCACCAAATTTACTTTCTTCCCTAATTCCCACAGCATTTCTCAAATTGCTACTATATTCTATTAGTACTCTAACATAATTCTTTGAAAACCATGGTTACCAAAAACCTGATACCAAAGACCATGTATATGTATCAAAACGTTGTCTAACTAGTACAGGGCAATGGTTGTACCACTTTTCATTTTTTCAAATATTTGGTACCCCCTTCCATCATCTGCATATGGTCAGTAGTGTCCCAACATTGTTCTGTTTATTGGAATGACATACCCCAATGCCTGCCTTCAAAACTTGTCCCCAGATCATCTAGCACTTACTTCACTTTCCTAGTGACATGGACTCTGAAATCCCATAAGATGATTATAATCTTAGAACTGCCAAAATATCCTGCCTTGTTTATAAATGGCTTACTTGCCCCTCTCCTCTATACATTCCTTCTTGCTGTATTTAAATTCTTCATCCTTCTCCATACCCTCTACTCTTAGTTGATATTTCCCTGAAAAACTCCTTTTCTCCTCACTGTGTATCCTCAGTACCTGCCCCCACCCCCAATTATTCAAATATTTGTAGGTAATGTTCAATGAGGTTTTATAACAAGCCATATACTGGAGCCTTCTCTCACAAGACACAGGGAGGGATTGTTTTATAAAACGTATTTAGAGCATAAAAAACTAAATAACTGTTTAGCTACTTTCATGAACTTGTACTCCCTACAAGGATTCTAAAATTAACATAATTTTCAAGAACTAACTTCAGAACACACAAAATAATACTTATGATCCTCATTTCATCTGATAAAAAAAAAACCTCAGGACTACACTCTAGACCTAACACACACAAATAATAATAATAATAATAATAATAATAATAATAATAATAAAACCTGTAACTCAGATCTGACCCAAAAAGTTATAGCCACAAGGGTATATGCCAAACTGAATAGTTAAAAGGAAAAAAAACAGACTTCTAATTGAAAATTACACTCCCCATACATAAAACCACTTTGGCTATCAAATTTAGAAAAGCAGCGTGCAGGGCAAGAGCTAAGCAATGGGCAGGGCAAACTCGAGGTCAACACGTGCGCCCCGAGTACCAGCTACCTCACCGCCCTCTAAGCCCACCCCGGCACCTTCTGGGCTCATAGGTGCCGCTCCCCGCACGGGTCACACAAGCCCCATCCCCGCAGCTCCGGGGCTCCTAGTCACTCCACCTGTCAGAGTCCGAGTCTGAGTCCGAGTCCGAGGTCTCCGAGGAGAGCGGGGTCTGCGCCAGCCCGGTGGCGGCCGGGCCGGTGATGCAGGCCCCGCAGCGCTGCAGTTCTGGCGCAGGCTGGGGCGCTGGGCTCCCGCCCGCCTCGGCGCTCGGGGAAGGCGGTGGTGGTTGCTCCCCTGCAGGCTGAGCCTCCACGGCCTGCTCACGGTCTGGGCAACCCTCTTCCGACTGCAGCGGCGGCAGCGACCCCGGCGCGGGAACTGAGTCCGGAGACCGCACCTCTGCACCATGGTCAACCCCAGAGCCAGGGCCACTGAATTTCAGGGTTTCCAGCTGAGCGGCGGCAGCCTCCACTACCTCCATCGCGCCGCGCCAGACACCCCGAGACGGCCTCACGTTCCGGACCTGCAGACAATCTCTCGTCTCCCGCCAAAGAAAGTAAAACTCCCTCTGCAAGGGACACAACCGCGCCAGACGCAAAGGTCCCGCGTTCCACAGGTAACTAACTACACGCGGAAAAGCCTGAAGACACGCCCCCGGCGTTATTCAGCGGCACTTCCGGGAGAGCGTGTGACGTAACGTGACGCGACGGCGCGACGCCGTTCACTGGAGGCGGGCCTACCAGGGCCCTTGGGAAGTAGGCCACAATCTATAGATTGCTTTGCTGCTTGTGAACTTTCTCACACATGAAAGGCCGGAAAGCAGGGCTTTCTGTACCTGAGTCTCGGCGACTTTTACTCGGAGCGCCGATTTGAAGCCTGATTAGGGAACAGGAGAGGTGCCCGAGGAGTGCTAGGTTCTGTACAGCAGAATCTTAAGCCAGTTGTTTTCGTATTTGTACCCTCCACTCCCACCCCAACTCCGGGAACTAGGCATTGAACACAGGCACATTGAGCCACATCCTCAGCCTTTTTTGAGATGGGATTTCGCCAGATTTTTAGGGCCTCGCTAAATTGCTGAGTCTGGCCTCGAACTTTGGACCCTCCTGCCTCAGCCTCCCCAGTCGCTTTGATTACAGGTGGTTGTCATCATAAGTCCGATTTAAAGCAGGACATCTTGAAAAGATCTTTCTGGTAATTTAATTGAAGTTACATTGGTGGACCTACAGATAGAAAGCACATTTATCAAACATCTCAAAAAAAAAAAAAAAAAAAGCTGGGCGCAGTGATGCATGCTTGTAATGGCATGGACTGAGGCCAGAGGATCACAATTTCAAATTCAGCCTCAGCAATTTAGCAAGACCCTGTCTCAAAAAAAAAAAAAAAAAAAGGACTGGGGATGTGGGTTAGCGTTGAAGTGTCCCTGGATTCAACTCCCAGTGCTGGAAACAAACAAAACACCAAACCTACAATTATTCCGTTTCCCTTTTCCCCAAAGTACTCCCAAAATAGCAGTAACAGCGAGATTTTGCTGCTTGGTAGTTGACTCTGCTTCTTAGAAAGGATGGGATGACACTAACCTGGGAAACCTTTTGGTTCCTGCGTTTCCTGAGAAACCTTTAGTTTGGATTGTAAAGAGGGTAAGAAAAAGTTCTTATCACAGAGGAAGATAGACTTCTCTGTTTTCCTATTAGATCTTCATTGTGATGTATCAGTTACTCGAGTAATAATCATTAGTACAATTTGCTAAGCATGCATATATTATCAAGGACTGTGCTAAAGATTTTATAAATTATTCATTGAGAATTTATTATAGACCGTCCATGGAAGTAGAACCTTCACACAAATTTAAGGCAAATATAATCAATCACTCTTCAGTATCCAAGGGGAATTGGTCCCTAGGGCCCTGCAAATATCAAATTTTAAGGATTTTGATGTAATAGTTAAAATGATCTAATAGTTATATATAATCTATACACATCTTCCTGTCTGTATACTTTAAATATCTTTAGATTATTTAGATATTTACAATATAAAAAAACAATATAAACAGTATGTAAATTATTATAGTATGTTTTAGGAAATGACAAGAAAACATTCAGTGTTGACAAAATTTTAAGAACTATTTTCAAACATTTGTTGGTTGAATTTATGGATGTGGAACCTACTGATCCGGTCAACCGAAGAAGGCACATAATCATAATTTTAAGGAATTTACAATCTAGTAGAAGTAAAAAAAAAAAAAAAAAAAAAAAAAGGTAAATGTACAGGAGATAACCAGAAAGAAATTTAATAGAAGATGCAAGTGTTGCAGCAAAGGGAAGGTAAGTAGGGCTGGTGAGCTGTATCATGGAAATCCTCCCAAGTGAAACAGGAATTTAAATTTGAAATAGTATGTAGTATTGTAGTGATTTAGTAGAGCTCAAGAGTTTCCAGACAAATATAACTTCAAATATCACTTTTACCATTGTGTTCAACTTTCAGTTTTACTATTGTTGTGTTGGTCTAACTCACCTTGAGTGGTAAGTTATATACCTAAACATCAATTTCCTTATCTGTAAAATGGAAAAGAAAAATACTATCTCATTTAGTTCTTGGCATATTAAATAAGTTTGTATAGAGGAGAATGGCATGTTGTGTATATTTAGTGTGAAAAATTGAACAATGCATGCATAAACCTATGAATCAAATAACACATCATTGACAATGACAAAATGTCTGTTGCATTTTTCCAGGAATTAATTGATAGAAGTCTGAATCAAGGGATGGCCCTCCTTTATTGCCACAAATTTCTGGTCTTGATCACCCTTCATCTCACCAAGTTTATTCTTTACATGTGGCATTTTCACTTAGTTTTTCCTCTCCCCATAATACCATGGCTTAGTTACTCTTATCTCAATTTTATTTTATGTCTACTCAAATATAACACTCTAGAGTTTTCCAGAATATTCAGTCTAAGAGTCCTTCAATACCAGTCACCCTCTAAGTTATTGCTCATTATTTCCTTTAAATAGTACTTATCTTCCAGTTGTTGTATTTGTTTACATCTTCCTTGTCTCTGTTTTCCCATAAATTAAAGTCTCATGAACCCAGGAATTTTGTCTAATTTCACAGCTATTTCTTCAGCTCTAGAATCATAATAAATCCTATAAAGGTTTCTGAATAGAAGAATGAAAGAAAGAAAACAAATAATAGAGCTTTATGGGACAATTGCAGTAAGGAAGATGCTTCACATATAAAGGTACAGAGAATATTAAGTTTATCTGTTCAATTTAAATTAATATGATTATATAAGGAATGTTACAGGTGCAGATAAAAATTTTTGTTTATGAAATGGGGATGGTCTCTGGGTTGCAGAATAAGAATAACTGTACCTATGCCTAGCTTCAAAATAGGTCACTCTTTCACAATGGGTATTTTTTCTAAGTGCCTGAATGTTCCAAAATGTCCTGAATTTACCTCCAGCACTTCAGAGCCTGCCTGTCTACTGCATTATTTCTAACAGCTGCTAAACTTAGCCTGAAGTCTTTAGCCTAAGGCTAAATCTAACAAAACTCATTGAAAGACTGAGGAGCTTACAGGATCACTAAAATTAAAAGAGAGTTTACAGTGAATTAAATTTTGAGTTAAAGGCCAGTCACATTTTAAAGTGAACATGTAAAATAGTCTTTAAAGTTCATGAGAGCATACATTTGAGTTTACCAATCTCCATGTATTCTAAATATTGAAAAATTTTATAAAAAAAGACCCAATAACTTCTTAAAGCCATTTTTTTCACTGTTTTGGAGTGCTTTCGCTACTTAGAAATGCTGTGGCAAAGAAGCAGCTTTGAATCATATGGAAATATGATGTAGAATCTTAGGCCTTATCCACTAGACCTTTGACATCAGAATCTGCATTTTAATGAGACTTCCCATGTGATGTGCATGCATGCTAAAGTTTAAGAAACTCAGTGGCTGTGTCAGGGAGAGAACATCCCTAGACTAGCATACTGCTTGAAAATAAAATGAAGCAAACCCTTTTGTAAAAGAGTAGTTAAAGTGCTGAGCCACTGAAACTAAGCTGAAGAGACTGAATATCTGTCTATTGATACCCGTAACTTGGATGCCCTATGAGTGAGATACATAAATACATAAATAACATTTGTATGTGTGTGTATGTGTATGTGTGTGTGTGTGTGTGTGTACGTGCGCGCGTGCGCGTGCATGGTGCGTGCATCAGGTACAGTTTTTCTAAGCACTTTGTAAATTTAAGACTTCCTTCCACAAAACTTTAAAATAGATATAATTATTATCCCCATTTTCCAGTTCAGGAAGTTGAGGCTCAAAGAGGTCAGTTTTGCATTGGTGTGACCAAAAGACCAGACAGGAACAACTTAGAGGAGTAAACATTTATTTTGGCTCATGGTTTAAGAGGTTCAGCCCATGGTTGGCCGAACCTAGAGCTGTCTGGGCCCAAGGTGAGGCAGATCATCATGGTAGAAGATCATGGTAGAGGAAAGCAGCTCAGGACATGGCAACTAGGGATCAGAGAGAGAGAGAGAGAGCGTGCACGTGCTCCATTCACAAAGACAAACTATAAACTCCATAGACATATCCCCAGTGACATACTTCCTCTAGCTACCCCTTACCTAACTACCCACAGTTACCACACAGTTAATCCACTGAATATGTTACAGCTGTCATAATTATTTCACCTATAAGCATTCCTGCATTATCTTACACATGAGCTTTTGGAGGACATCTCACCTAAACCAAAACAGAGACTGAATGAATTTTCCAAGGTTATACAGCTGGTAAATATTTTTTATGTTCCTCCAGAGGAAGCATGAAGATTCTAGCTGATACAGTGACTGGGAAGGCAAGACTGTCTAATTATAAATGTCCACTTTGCTACAGATTTAAAGCAAGACTCTCTAATCAATTTTATCAGTAATTAAGATAAATTTTTTCCCATCCAGCTATATCTTGAGTCATATTTCCAGATTGCTCTGTACTCAGGAGGAGAAAAAAGGAATGTTATTTATTGGCTAACCAAAAGTCCATCATTTAAGACCAAGGACTAGAAAAAGCAAAATATATAGAAAATAAGTTTTCAATAGTAAATAACAATATTCCACCTCTTCAAAAACAAATAGCCCACATAATGTAACATTCTCCAAATGATAATTTCCAAATTAATGTTGTCCAGTTGAAAATCTGCAATCATGGGAATGCTATGTATATTCATTGCCCAGTGTAGTGTTCACTAGCCATATTAACTAGTAAGATCTTGAAATATGACTAAAGCAATTGAGAAACTAAATTCTACTTATATTTAATGTTAATTACTTTAAATTTTAGTGTTTCTACAGATGAGGTCTGAAGATTCTAACTAATAAGGGACCAAACAGACAAATATATCTAGACTGTTTCAGCAGCTACCATATTGTACTGTTCCATTTGAAACCTTTAACATCCTTTGCAAAAACTGTCAAAAGTTTCTGTTAAGGTCAGCACCCTTCAGAGTTTGCTGTGGATAGTCCTATGGTCTACAGTTATTATGATTTTCATCCCTGTGTGATCATGGCTAGCACTGATTTTCAAATGTGTCCCATGTTGGATACTAAACTTTGAGGTCAGAATGTTTTGGGCTTYATGTCC